AGCTAGCTAATCGTGATTGGTTTTTGGTGGAGGAGGGGGGTTCAGGTTGAGGTGGTGGTGTCGAGGATGGCGTGCATCTCGGCCTGCTGGTCGTGCTCCATCTGCTCCACGGCCATCTCCCGCTCCACCACGAAGATGAGCGGCACGCCTAGCACCAGGAACGTCGTCTCGACGATCCACGCCGCCTTCCCCACGCTTCGTGCCAGCTTCGCCGCCACCGCCGACGCCCCCCGCGCGTGCTCCGTCGCCGCCGACTGCGAGATCGCCTCCATCAAGTCCTGCATCATGGGATGGCTGCCTGTCGTGTCGCCTAGCTAGTTAGGGTTCAGCTTAGTTAGCTACCTACGACGCCGACGCGTTCTCTCTCGTGACGTAGCTACGAAACGAGGGGAGGGTTTTATAGTGCGGCCGGGCCAGGGCTCCTCCGCTTCTTCTTCCTTGTTTCCCTGCTTTCTTTCTGTTTCTGGATGGACACTGTTTAGTACTAAACTCCGAGTCCATCACGAGTTGTTTTAATTAATTTCCATCGTAATTGACTCCGATTCCATTACTTACTACAAGTACGTTCGTTTCTGTCTCGGTGCATCAATGACCTACTTACTCTACTGGCCCCGATCCATGCCATATACTCCCTCATCCGTATCTAAATACTCCCTCCGTTCTAAATTATTATAAAAATCATTCCAACTTTGTTGGACAGTTAAAACATTCAAATTTGACCAAAATTATATAATAAATAATAACATTTATGACTAAATAAGTATCATTATTAATTATATTTTTATAGTATATCTATTTGATGTCATAAATTTTTATAATTTTCTCTATTATTTTCGTCAAACTTGAGAAGCTTTGACTCGATCTCCAAGAAATTTGCAAAATATGTGGTCATACAAAATATGCAATCTTTAAAAGTCCATTTATGGGTTAAAGCAATCATCTTGCAGTTGGAATATTCGTTTTGATGAAGTGGTCAAAGGGTTTGGCATCATCAAGAATGAAGAAGTACAAAAAGGCTAGTTTTTTTTAGCAAATCAAAAAGGCTAGTGGGAGCGCAATTGTATTTCTGGTCCTTTATGTGGATGATTTATTGTTGATCGGGAATGACATTCCAATGTTAGAAGCCATTTGGGCCGGGCCCTCCCTTGCCTCTGCCTTCCATAGGCCATATAGCCCAAGGTAGGCCCATAACCATTTGGGCCGGGCCCTCCCTTGCCTCTCCCTCCCATAGGCCATACTCCGTAGGCCATAGCCTATAGCCCTGTCGTCGCAGTCGCCGCCGCCGCCGCCGCCGCCGCCCGCCGCCCTCACGCCCATCTCACGACGCCCGCCGCGGTTCCATTCGCGCCCCTCCGACAAGCCGTCTCTGCCGCCCGCCCCATCTAGGAGCAGCCTGCCATTCACCCCAACTGGCCTTGGTTGCAAGTTCGTCCATCCCCACAACTGAACTGACAGGCACCCATGGCGCCGCACTCGCTGCTCCGCGCCGCCGCATCCGAGCTCCGCCGCCGGGGGCGCCGTGCCCCTCTCCCCCTATCGGCGCTGTCGTCGCTCCTCTCCTCGCCGCCTCCACAGAGCCCACCCTCCAGCCACCCCGATCCTAGCCCCCACGCCGACCGGCGCCACCTCATCGCGCTCCGCCGGTGCCCGCCGCGGCCGGCGTCCGCCGTCCTCGCCCCCGAGCTGCTCCACGGCAGGGTTCTCCACCCGAGCCACTTCTCGCACGCCTCGTGGCTCTCCACCTCCTCGTCCTCTTCCGAACCCGCGGGCAAGGCTTCGCCGGCGCCGCCGCTCACGTGGGTGGACAAGTGGGTACCGGAGGCGGCGCGGCCGTACGCCATGCTCGCCCGCCTCGACAAGCCCATCGGGACCTGGCTCCTCGCCTGGCCCTGCATGTGGTATGGCTTTCCTTCTTGTGTTCTCCTGCTTCTCGATGCTCTGCATTGTCATGCCTTTCCGTGTCTGATTCAGTTAGTCCATGCGTCCCAACACTAACTGAAAAACGAGGTGGTGATTAGTGGTTCGACTCATATGTACTGTTAAATGCTTTACTTTTGCCTTATGAAAGATGAAAGGAAAAAAAGAAGAAGAGGTTTTGCTTGTCGATGTACAGTCCAAAAAGTTTAGGAAGAATAGAACACATGCACATTGGTACTGGATACAAGAACAGCTCAATGTTTTGCTCTCCTGTTTTATGCTGTCACGACACATACTAAATTTGAGTCCTCATAGCAAACGCAGCATATTTCCTTGTTAGCTTCAGATTCAACTAAATGGTAACGATGATCATCGGGCTCCTGTCTTGTGTCTTGTTAGAGCTTCTAAGGAGGAGGGGCATTATTTTATCTGCTATGCACGTGTTGAAATTGAATTCTTGTATATTATTAAATCGATAGGATGTTTTACCCTCTGTTGAAGAATCAATCAGACCTTTGCTTCACAGGTCGATCACAATAGCAGCAATGCCAGGGGAGTTGCCAGACTTGAAAATGCTGGCACTCTTCGGATGTGGAGCTGTCCTCCTCAGGGGGGCTGGTTGCACAGTGAATGATCTTCTCGATCGCGACATTGATAATAAGGTGATTTTGCTTTCTTTTGATGTTCTGAGTGCTGCTGATGCCTTGCATTGCACCTAACCTGAATTAAGCACAACAAATAATCAATCAATGAACAAACTGTTCTGGATGTTTCATGGCCTTTATCTGGTGACATATTTCTCCATAGGTTGAGCGCACCAAAAGTAGGCCTTTTGCCTCAGGAGTGCTTACTCCTTTACAGGGAGTGAGCTTCCTTGGAATTCAGCTCCTATTGGGACTGGGCATTCTTCTCCAATTGAACAACTATAGGTATTTAAACTCAGATGCTTCTTTGTCTGATGCGGCTGACACTATTATATGCATTTAGACTATCCATGTTCCCACAACCACTTATCAGTGAGTGTCCACAGCAGAACATTACGATCAAATTATTTAGGGGCTATTTATTCCAACTCTTTTTCTTGAGGATAATTAGGATATTCATGTCCTGCAATTTGATTTGATGGGGACTGTACTCATTTTACTTCCCATATTCTTTCTATCTTGTTTATGTGATAAACTCACTGCTTCCTGGACATCAGCATGGTCTTCAGTATGACATTTTGACTAGCAACAATATATTGAGTGATATATAAGGAAAATATTTTTCATCATCAGTCTAGTCATGCCAATCATGTATTTTCAGTCTGTATAAAACTTTAGGTAATAGACAAAGTTAAAGAAGTTTGACTTAGGACAAGATGGACTTATTTGCGATTGGAGGAAGTATGCTTGTGGCTATGACCGGGATGGTCCTTTAACTGCAGCATTAAGCCATTAACCAACGTGTTTTGGGTTTGCATCCTAAGGTTATGGTGCTAGGTCCAGTTGCATTTTCTTGATTGATAACCAGGAAATAAATTGGGCCACCACACAGTTCTCCCTAAGAATATATAGAAGCATACTATGTTCCTGTTTATTTTCTTATCTTTGCATTACCTGAAAGTCAAAACAAAGGTATCTTGACTATAAGCAGTTTATACATTATCTTTTTGTCATTTTTTTGTGTGTAGTCGTATTTTGGGGGCGTCTTCACTTTTTCTGGTCTTCTCGTATCCCCTGATGAAGAGGTTCACATTTTGGGTATGTGCTGTATTTGTGCATATGGAGGCTTATATAGAATAATACTATATTATTACCTATAGAGTGAGGGCTTGTATTTCTTTTGGTGCATTAATAACAGCCTCAGGCTTATCTTGGCCTGACATTCAATTGGGGAGCTTTATTAGGATGGGCTGCTATTAAGGAAAGCTTAGACCCTGCAATCATCCTTCCATTGTATACCGCTGGTATATGTTGGACACTGGTGTATGATACTATATATGCGCATCAGGTGATTTCACTATTCCCACTCTTTCATACTCATCCTTGATGAAGTGACCATTTCATGTTGTCGCAGTGTCTTATCCATGTGTATCTACATGCATCTCAGGACAAAGAAGATGACCTCAAAGTAGGAGTTAAGTCCACAGCATTAAGATTTGGAGATTTGACCAAATACTGGATCAGTGGCTTTGGTGCGGCATGCATTGGCAGCTTAGCACTCAGTGGTTACAATGCTGACCTTGGTTGGTGTTTAGTGTGATATTTGAGTGAAGTAGTATTCTTTTTACTTGATATTGACTCTATACCTGAAACAGGATGGCCCTACTATCCATTTCTAGTAGCTGCAGCTGCACAGTTAGCGTGGCAGGTTTCAACTGTGGATCTGTCTAGCCGCTCAGATTGCAACATGAAGTATGTTTTTCTTGCTTTGAATATCCACTACCTATTGCCATTTTTATGCCTACATAATGTGGTTGTTGATATCAAAGTTTTGCTAGGCGCTAGGCGCAATCTAGGCAATGACCCTTAGCCTAGCGACTAGTCCAGCCTAGGCGATGCTAGGCGTTTTTCTAGGTGTTTTGCCAATTTATATTTATATATCAATATATAATATATACATTTATAGCACAAATCATTAATAATTTAGATAAAAAATAGGGAAGGACCAGTAGACATACCTTAGGTCCTTTGTCCTTAGTTGCAGTTGATACACTACTGATCACTGAATTTCCTGCAGCACTGCTGCAATAGAAGTGGACAACACTTTTAGATGCAATTGGGCATCAATACAAGTGATACAAAAAATAGGAAATAGCAAGTTAGGTACTTATCTGAGGTCTGAGCCTTCTCCCATCCATTATCAGCATTTCAGCAGCATAGGATAGCCTTTTGAAATCACAAACATGAAGGGACAGCAGGCAGCAACACAGAATATAAAATGGATAGTAGACTAGCAGTACATTACATCACATGATTGATGATTCTCAGTTCTCACAACACAAAACACAAGCACACAGCAGGAGTTCTAAGTTCATAAGTTAAAGATACATGGATGCATAATAAAAGCTAAAACATGACATGAAGCTGTCTCGCACTTCTTCAGTAGGGTTCATCCATCACATAGTCATCCTCATCTTCATCAAACTCTTCTTCTTCGGACTCAAACTCTTCTTCATAGAGCTCTCTCACCCTTGCACTTCTACGCAGCTCTAGTTGTTCTTCTGCTCCCACTTCATCTCCAAGCACAGACCAAGGTATCCCTGTACCTTCCATGAGTTCTTCCTCATCTTCCTCATCTCTAAAGACAACTAATGCACAATCATCTCCATTCTCTTGGAGGAAACCTTGAGCTTCAGTTGTATCACTAGACAAGAGAACATCAGTAATTTTCTTTGACTTGATCTTTGCTCTCTTATTAATCAGCCTGTTGTTGAATTGAATGTAGACCAACTTGTTGAGGCGGTCTGTAGTAAGCCTATTTCTCTTCTTAGTGTGCACCTATAAATTAAAAATAAGAGCATTTTTAGTTCTGCAATTTAATTGTAATGCTGCTGAAATTTTGATAACAGATAGGTACTAACCCCATCAAACCCACTCCAAGTTCTTTCACAACCAGAAGAACTTGCTGTTAAAGATAGGATCTTGGTAGCCATCTTCTGTAGAGCTGGTGTTTCAGCTCCATAAAGCCGCCACCATGATGCTGAAATAAAAAAACCTCTCTATTAGTTAGTAGGCACAACAGATTTCTTGTTAGATGAACACAACAAACAACCATGTAAAATCAGCAAACAACTTTTACCTGGATTATAATCAAAGTTTTCAAAAGTCCTTGCAAGCTTCTTGCTAAATGGTCCTTCTCTATTCTGATACTTCTGGAGTTCAATGTTGGCAGCTTGTTCTTGCATGTCTTCATCATGATAATAAAAAGTCTCCACACAACTGATAAATCCTTCTGTCATTTTGGGAGCATCAAAGATTGAAGGGTCAGCATAAATATAGTGTGGATTCAGCAAATAAGCTGTCAAATGCAATGGAGAATCAAGTCTTCCAGCCATTTTCTTGTCAACAACAGCAATAACATCCTTGAAACGGGACTCATTATTGCCAAGGGCCTCTTTGACCTGTCTCTTTGCCTTTAATAGTTCTCCATATACAAAACCCATGGACGGCTTCACATCTCCATCAACCAAACGGAGAACTTTGAACAATGGCTCAAAAACAGCCAATGTCAACTTTACATCCTTCCAAAAGTTTGGATTCAATATAGTTGCTGTGGCATTTTTTCCCTTCTTTGATTTCACATCCTTCAATGAGTCCCACCTACTATGCATCACCATCTTTCTTAGTTGGTCCTTCTTCTCTTGTATGCTGTTCAAAGTCAAATAGTTTGAAGCAAACCTAGTCACTCCTGGCCTTACTATCTCTTTGCCCTCAGTGAAGTACCTCATGCACTCTAGTGTTCTTGTGTGCCCATAGACAAATATGATGAATGTCTTTGCTTGGTCAATCACCTTCTTGAACCGAGGCATGTTGCCAATTCCCTGGAGCATCAAGTTGATTGTGTGAGTTGCACAAGAGGTCCAAAAGACCTGTGGTCTCTTCTCATGCAGTAGCTTCTTTGCTCCCATGTTGTTAGAAGCATTGTCAGTCACAACTTGCACCACATCATTTGGACCAATATCTTCGATTGCTTTGTCCACTAGTTCAAAGATGACTTCACTTGTGTGTGACACATCTGACATCTCTTTTGAGGAAATAAAATTGGTTCCATCAGCACAATTAGTGCACACATTCATTATGCTTCTCCTCTTCTTATCTGACCAAGCACCGGTCATAATAGAGCACCCATTCTTCAACTTCTCGGCTTCACGTTCTTGCAGAAAACTCTTGGTTCTTGCATATTCTTCTTCCAGCAATCTTCCTCGCAGGTCAAACATAGTTGGAGGTTCAATTCCAGGCCCAAATTGTCCAATTGCTTCACACATTTGCTTGAACTCATCATTGTCACATGCATTGAATGGTATTGTTGTCAATGTTACAAAAAAAGGAAATTAGTGTTCAGTTCAGTACTACAGCAAGGCATCCAATGAAATTGAAATCTGAAATAAAAAAACAGCAAGGAAATTACCATGGTTATAGGCCCATCTTGCAATATATTTATGCGCCTCATGTAATCTTTCTTTCCAAAGTTCCTTGTTCAGCTTCTGTTGAGTCAAAGATTTAGGTTTGGTTGCTGTAGGATCAATAGCTTTTGTCCATTTGTCCATGGGGCCTAATTTGTGAGGCTCTGAACTTCCAACACAAGTGACTTCCTCTGACCCTCCAACCCTAGATACATGAACTTCCTCTCTAAGTTCTAGCTCACGAACAGTCTTCTCCTCCCTCTTCCTTTTTGCTTCATCTAGTGCTTTCTTGCACTTTTCTTGAGCCTCTAACAACTTCTCTTTGGTGGTCTTCGTGCCCTGGCATTTCTTCGCATTCTTTCCTTCCTGGGCGATATGTTGCTTCAACCGATAAACCCCTCCAAACATTTGCTTGTCACACAGTATGCACTTCACCTTGTCCTTGTTGTTCGGATCAACAAGAACCCCATACTCCCATCCCACATCATCTGAATTCCTTCTCAAGACAGTTGCTCCCTTTGTTCCACTTGCAGTTTCAGATTGACCCTCTGTTCCCGTCATCTGAGTTCAAGCCATCAATCAACAAATTACAAACATATACATGCAATCGCCAATCAGTCAACAAATTCATATATATATATATATACACACATGCAGATGCAGTCAACAATTTCACAGATTCATCATAGTAGATACATGGAATCATTCAACAATTTCAGATTTCAAAAACAGAGGAGAGGAGAGCAGGGAAAAGGAACAACTGCAGGGAAGGAAACAGAGGAGACCGGCTGTATATGTTTGCAAACAGACAAAGCAGGGGAAGGAAACAGAGGAGCAGGGGAGGAGGACATCCAGACCTTGGGAGGAGACCGTGTGGGAGGAGCTGGCAGCGAAGACGAAGAGAGCCGGCGAGGAGGAGCACGACCCATGGGGACGAGCTCGTCGAGGAGGAAGGAGACCCGTGGGGAGCAGCGTCGCCGTGTGGTCTTGCCAGAGGGGGGGAGGAGGCTCGCCCGTGGATATGCTTCCAGCGGCAGGCAGCCCGGGTGGGACTGCTTCCCGGCTGGGAGGAGCACGACCCATGGGATGAGCTCGTCGAGGAGGAAGGAGACCGGGGGGAGCAAAGGCGTCGCCGGCCAGGTCTTGCCAAAGGGGAGGAGGCTCGCCGGCGAGATCTGCTTCCAGGCGAGCAGCGCAGTGATCGGCGGGACTGCTTCCCGGCGGAGGTCGAGGTCGAGGCGAGTACGACTTTCTCTCCCCTTATCCTTCTCCAGTATTAGCAACGCTGCTTTTTTTCAGCGCTGGAGCTCTGTGGCCAGGCCGCTCGCCCATGAGCCATTCTTTCAGGCCTGGTGATGGCCCGCGTCGCCGGCCTAGCTCGATTACGTGCCGCCTAGGGCTCCTGGGCGCCGCCGAGTCGCCGCCTAGCTCCGCCTAGTCGCTCCGCCCTCCTAGAGGGGCGATTACCCCCCTAGTCCAGGCGCCAGGCCATAGCCTAGCGACTAGGGGTGCCTAGGCGAGACGTAATCGTCGATTTTCAAAACTTTGGTTGATATCCACAATATGTGTCCACCTTAATTCGATGAATTGATGCCCTGCAGGTTTGTGTCCAACAAGTGGTTTGGAGCTTTGGTGTTTAGTGGGATTCTATTTGGGCGTCTTGTATCATGATGATCATTTGAGGAAGCATGGTGTGTTTCTATGATGGGCCCAGTGGAACCTAAGCAATTTTGTGATGAGATGTAGGAAGACTACCAAGCCCTTGACTCTGGGCTAGGCGGCTAGCTAATGCGGCGTGGTGCAGAGTGGACTTTTAAGATCCTTAACACATATCATAGCATATGCTTTCATCCTTGCTAATTGGCATTTTTTTTTACAATCATCACACCTTGGCTTGTGAAGCAGGCTGTTTTCCAAGCATATCAATTATGGTGGTGCTCTCCACCTCGTGTACGTAGTTAATGGTACAAGACAAGATCACAAGAGACATGAAAAATACATTGATGTACAACAATCACATTCTTGTGTCATTTATTATATGCTACGTATGCCAAAAGTGAGCTAGTGCATGCACCTTTTTTTTTGCCTTTTGTCTTCTCGAGCTGAAAACAAGTGGCCAAAACATTGCAGTATATGAAAGCAGATGCTACATAAATTTCTCTGAGGACATAGCCAGCTTACCATACTGATGCTTTCGTTTTGGACTGAGTGCCTTGGAATCAATCATCATCAACCATGTGTGCCCAGGAGTCACCAATCAATGTAGGCAATTGGTAGCATGGTTTGGCTACCTTCAGTTTTGCTCCGTTGTCATCTGTCCAGTATCCCGTATATATGCAATGGTAGTCCACAATCTGAGATTGATATGCTGCCTCTGCAACCATAGTGACGCAGCTAGCAGGCTTCAGGCCTTTTAGAATGTGGGATTCTTCTTCTTTTTTTTCTCCTGATTCCTATGTTTTTTTTTTAACATGGACTACTTCCTGTAAGATTCATGCGGACTCTCGATCCATGAAAAATATAATAACTGCATATACTCCCTCAGTCCCAAAAAGAATGCAATTTTAGATGAATGCAACTTTTTATATAAATCTAGACAAATGCTTGGTCAACTTCATACCTAAAATTGACTACAAGTAACGAAACTGCACCACCATTGCATTGGCTATTCAAGTCGCCGAAATATCAGCAGCATACATATGCCCTGCTGTCTCTCACCCTAGTTCTCTCTAGTGCCTGCCTACCCGCCTGCTACATGACTGGGTCGATGGCAGTCTACTTCCACGGACCAGCTAATCAACCATCCATCGGTGTCTGGTCGGCGATCACCATACATGAACAAAAGCTCAGACACCTTAATGCCTGACCATCGATACAGCCTACAAGGTACAAGCTCAGCTCCTTCCAAAATGCATGATCCCCAGCCCAAACTTGACAAATCAATCGCCACAATTTCGAGAACCTACAGGGCGACCTCGCCTTTTAGGCTTCTCATCAGCAGCCTCACTTTTGGACTTGTTGTCCTTGAAGCCTCGCCTTTTAGGCTTCTCATCTGTGGCTTTGCTGTTGGACTTCTCATCAACACTTGGCACTTCACCTCTTCGGCGACTGCCCTGCCTTTTAGGCGGCGGCTTCTCATCTGCAGATTCATCTCCACAGCTGTTCTCACCAACCCCAATCTTCAACCTGCCATATCAATCACAGCGTAATGAGTCACCAAAATGTTCCAGCTGCCAATGACTGGTTAGTTTCGCTTACCCTTCTGAGGAACAAGGATCCAAGAAGTTTACAGCTTCGTTCAGGGCATGAAGAGCCATCTTCTTAATCTGAAAGAAAACACATATTCATCACATCAGATAGAACAAGCCAGAAACGCAGATAGATCATTGGAAGTGCACAGTGCTAACCTCTAGTTTGTCTTCTTTAGCTTTGTGGAATGATGGAAGTCGTCGAAACTCCCCGGTCAACTTAACACACTCACCAACATTTTCTGGGGAGACAAAATCAAGCGCAACTTTGATGCAGGACTGCATAGATGAAGATGGTTTCATCAATCACAACCATGATATTTGATGTCACACTCAAAAGGAGAACAAAAAAGATCCAGCTTGGTTGTCACACTGGTAAAGCTTGGCCACACCTTCAAATTTCTCACTTGGTGAGGACATCCAGCAGGAATGAAAACAGCTTCACCAAGCTTCTGTTCAAACGTCCAGGGTTCAATACCTAAAGCAGGAAGTTAAAACATAAGACAAAGAACATGTCATCTTTGGATACAGTGTTGGAGAGATCACAGAAATATTTTTCTAACCATATTCTTCCTTGAGCTTTCTTTTATGCTCCTGAGTTAAGTAGAAAGACTGATCGTGAATTGGGTGAAATACCTGCTCAGTTAACGTGATTAGTGGTCAGCATAAAAAGGTAAGGATGATTCCATTTTTTTTTCTTTAAAAAAAGGACTGCAACAAGGACCTTTTTCACTGGATTGCAGTAAATATGCCGGAATTCAGAGCAATGCTTCCTAAGATAATCTTGTAATTTATCAGAATCCTGTCTGCGGAAGATATCCCACAGAGCACCACCGGTGCTTTGTTGCTCTGAGCTCTCAACAACAGGCATTTCCAGATTATCTTCAGAACTTCCTTTTAGATAAGCATCAATGCCACTGCAATCAACCTTTTCAGATTTCTCTTCTTGAGGTTTAATGCTAACTTTCTTGAGTTGTATCCTGCCAGTGCTTTTTTGATTGTGTGAAATGTAATGAGCTCCATTGTGCATCCCATCAGTTGTGTTGACCCCATTGCTGTGATAGGAACACTGACCTAGTTCACTTTGGGATTCTGATCCATGAGATGATTCTTTATCCTTTGCATCATCTCCATCGTCATTAGGTGGTAAAGCATTGATGTCCAAACCTGCAGGGCACATGAAATGCCATTATTATTAAACTGAATGATTGGATTCATTACCAAAAATGAATTTGTGTTACGAACCATTATAGTTGTCTCTATTGACACAATTGTCTTCACTACTATATGAGGTCTTCAATCCTTCATCAACAGATTCATCCCTGCATTCAGTTGGAGCTGGTGACAACTTCAGCTCAGAGCAGGATTTTAGACCCCCATATAGTTCCTGCAGATCTTGCTCTCTCATGTCTTTTTGGATTTTTTCAATTTGACAGGGATCAGTCTGACAAGTGACTTCAGCTGTGTGTGTTAAGATATTTACCTGGTTATATCACACACGTTTGACAATTAATATTGACCATGTTATAAACCCAAGTGGTTGATGAGAAAAATAAGAACTATTAAAATGTCAACAAATGAGCTAGGTAAATAGCAATGAGATACATCTGCTAGGAAAGCATTAGAAAATGAGCAGGTTCGACAGGAGCCTTGCTGAAGTCAGTTCTATATTTTTGTTCAGCACTAAACCACATGCAGAACAAAAGAAGGCTATAATCATTAATAAACACAACATACCGCATCAGATATGTCACAGTGAAGCTTGGTCACAGAATCACCCCTGCCTAGCTCTTTGTAGAACCCATAAGCAATGTAACTTTTGGGTCCAAGATCTGGCTTCAAGACACCAGCAGGAAGCTTGGCTGCAAGATTTAGCGGGCCATATCGTGGATCAGTATACTCACGAAATGGCAATGCGCTAATAAATTCGGCACCGTGTCGCGGCAATCGCTTGTCAAAGGAACTAGAAGAAGGCCAGTCTTTTAGCTTAAGCATCTCAGGCCAGCGAGTCCTAGCATGAGTTCTGCCTGTTGTATATCCCTTAAAGAACCTATGTATGTTGATTTCCACCTGCAACATATAAGGATAGTAAATGCCTGCATGAAGCTGCGAAAGAAGGAAGCAAGGCACATCTAAATTTAAGGTGAGACTTAAAGATCCCTAATTGAAATGAGAACTTCTTCACTGATAGAACGATGAAGTTTGCCAGTACTATTATGTGTTCTTTTCTTCTGGACACAAACGCAGGCCCAGTTTTACTAAGGCTGGTCACTACTCAGTACTGTCCTAAGAATTTCTGTCAAAAGTCAGAACTTTTTATGATTTTATACAAGCCAGACGACCTTGATATTAGAAACAAGAAATATCAATCAATGGTTATCATCCACCAAAACAGATTCAACAACTTAGACACATTAGGAATAGAGCTCCGCACCTCACACCAATCAAGGCAGTCTATTGCCCAAACAGCAAATTGCTCATCTTCTGCTTTGCCTTTGGATCTTTCCCGCAATGCCCGCCACATTACCATTGGCTCCCAACTCAGGCCAGAGGTTAACTGAAGGACATCAGAAACAACAACTGGCTCACCCTTTGCCCAATGCATCTGAAAATGTACTATGTCATCATCTTGAATACCAGTAGCAACTGGACAGTATAGGAAGTTATCACTTGAGTCCTTCCTGCTTGCAGCCTCCTGTACTGATTTGCTTTCAGTTCTTATCTTGCCTGAATGATCAAAGCAAGGGCACCGATCACTTCTACTAACCATTGCTTTAGCTAATGTCTCGCTCCTGAGAACTTTGTCAGCTCCATCTTCTATCTCAGCAAGCATCTTCTCTGGAAACAAGCACTTGAGGTCCAGAAGTGTCCTACCACAGCCTCCTACTTCCTTTGGTGGACAAGGTATGCTACCATCACTCTTTGCTTTCCAGAGCAACAGACCGTTATTGGGGTTTCCAACAGCAGGCATGCCGTTGTAAGACTGACCATTTGAGGAGCTCTTACTTCTATTAGCATCCTCTGACAGAGGAATCTTGCCAAAAGAATAACTCCTACCTTTAGGTTCAGGTGGCACATACTCCACCTCTTCTCCTCCTGGGATCTCACCTTTGCGAAGCTCCTTGCAGCAGTTAAGGCAAAGATCATAGAAACAATGCTTGCAGCTTCTATGAAAATCAACAATAGATGTTCTACACCTGTCGCTGCAGTAGACGGAATGAATAGATTAGATGCCAACCATTAGATTTATAGCAGAAAGTAACCAGGGAAAGAAACCAACCAATATACACGATCATCTAGGTCAACCTCAGCTTGTTCCACTTTTATCTCATTCACTGAAACTCCTGTCCACAAAACCAGACCAGTCTGTAACTGTATCCCAGAAACCACTACCAGTCTGTAACTGTATCCCAGAAACCACAGTACCATACCTCGTATACTAGCCTCTACTTCCTTCTCCTCCATCTGTTCTTGTCGCAATTCTCTCATCCAGGGAAGCAGCAAGCTTACGATATGACAAGCATAACGAATTTCATTTTCTTTAGAGATCTCCTTTTTTGGAGGCTGGTAAGAGGATGGGGTAAATCATTAACAATGGGCACTAGAAGATAATTATTTGAAATTTGAGTGCATACATATAAGCAGAACAGTGCAAATACTGTAAAGGGATGATGAGTTGTTAAGTTTGTACCTCTTCAACTCCCCTCATCCGTAGGCATGCCTTGCAATTACAGTTCTTGCGACAATATGGGCATTTCACAGCAAATTCATCTTCTGGCAAATTAGGATACCTATTTACAAGAAACTTCTTTGGGTCACTTGAACATTGTGCAACACACATGATGAAACTACATGACTCTTGCATATGTCAATAGCCAGTGAAATAAAAGTATTGGAAAGAAAACGCTTCAAATTTCATGTAGCATATTAGACTAAAACAGTTCGGTAAAACACAGAAAATTAGTGAATGAAGAGGAAACGGTGATCAACTAAAACTGTGCAAGTCATATTTGTAACTGTTGTATCAGAAGAAACAGTAGATAAAGAGCAATCCAATTAGTATGAAACAAGATTATGATAACTTGACACACCATTGTTCTATGCATGGCACACAGAATCGCTTTTTTTTGCACGACTGACACCGGACAACCCGTGGTTTGTCCTTCCTTTGGCACTGATGGCACATGAGGGCATTTTCCCCAGTCAACATCTTACTCCCTTTCTGGATATTTTTAAAACAAAATTTGCATTCATAAAAAATAGTTGTGAAGAACCACTTCATATACAACATAATACAAGGAAATGAGCAGCTCACCATATTATTTTTATCAAGGGTTTCATCCTTGGTGGATGGGAGCTTCTTTTCTTCTTTATCCACTTTGTTCAACTTTTTTGTCATAGACTCTTTCCCTACATCTCTTTTCCGCTTCTTTGCATTCTGTAAAAGCTTATGATTCCTTGACTGCTTGCTCCTTGCTGCCTCAGCATCACTCTGCAAAAGAAAGAAGTTGCTAAGCCTGATGACACTCTGGTTTTTATATCCAAGTGAAGGTGACAAACTGCATTTGTTGGCAACCTAATACAGGCACTAGCATCCCCTAAAGATTAGACTAGCCACAATGCGATGAGAGATCGATGCCGAAATAGGAGAGAGAGTTTTAGCCCCAGGTCATACCATTGGACATCACACGCTGAATTGAAAAGGCTAACTTGCGAGTCAAGTGCATGCATCGGTGCTGAATAAATAAACAAGTATTTTTTGGCTGGGCGTTAATGGCAGAGTGCTCCTAACCATGTGCAGACATAATGACAAGCACAATAGATGCACATTGCACATTCCAGTCTTTCAGGGCTTATGATGCATGATTTTAATGAATCGCTAAATTTCCATATATGCTCCATTAATACAATGTCCAGGAATTTGATTGCACAAAATCGAATTCAGAATTTTAGATGATAGTTATGATTGATGTCAACCCGATGCGTGGGTAAGAAATTTAATGTATGACATTGCAGCAAAGTACACAATTTATCAGCTAAAAACAATACACTAGAATAGCAGCTAGCAAAGAATTTTATCATACTAATGAAAAGGATCCCTGTAAACCAGGCAATCAGCTCAAAATATCTTCTACATGATTAATATTTAAAGTATGCATACAATCAAGAACACCAATATGAGGTGCAATATCAAGATAGAAGAATAATTATTTTTAAGTCAAAATGAAACCAGCATCTAATCATTTATAGAGGGTGGAAGTTCTGGGTTCAGAAAAAGCTAGGATATTAACTGATTATTGAATGATTGTTACAGTAAACAAATTGATCACAAAAAGGCACCTACCCTAGTCAGCGTTAAAAGAACAACAACAAATGTTCAAAAGAATTTAAACCATTTAGAAGTGACATGGAACCTTAACGACAGGGTGTTTGGATATTTTATTGGCTTCAGCTAAAAGGAGTCCTAAAATGTGTTGTTAGATACTGACAGATATGTGTCTACAGAACTATTCATGTAAATGGTAGGAAAACAACACCATACATACTAGTGAAGTTAAGGATTTGATTCTGCAGAAACAAATAAAAAGTAGAGAAAATGATAGAAATTCAACCATTTTGGTGATGCTACAGAATAGGTCCAAAATTTTCAAGTCAAGTATTGTCAGGCCCATGGCTACAAAACCGTTTTGAGCAATTTACCCCGTTTGTTTCACCATTGGAGAACTGGCACCTACTAACCACTTGTTCTACTGTTAGTTTCTTGGGTCTTCCCCTTCCCCTCTTCTTCCCAGCAGCATTCTACAAGCAAATAACAATTAGGGGGTGTTTGGTTCAGCTAGGAGCTCCTAGATCTAGTCCCCAGCCTCTCCAAGAGATTTTTGGGGGGAGGCTTGCCTCGGTTTTTCCCTTCCCAGACCCCACTCATGTGAGAGCCTCCGGCACTGGGTCTGCGCTGCCCCCCCCCCCCCTCTTTATACATTCATCAATCAACTAATGCAGAGGATAGCAAGCGACATACCGAATTCATTTGGCCATTGCTTTTACCATCGAAACTCTGGGCCTTGCTATCCAGTTGGTCGGCTTCCATTTTTCTGGGTCTTCCTCTTCCTCCCTTCTTTACAGAAACACCTGTTTTAGCACTCTCGTGGTTGACTTGATTAATCGTAGTTTCCTCATCATCATGCTGGCAAACACAGCAGTCAGTCAATTGATGCACAGCCTCAGCAAGGAATAATCCAGCAAAATTTTCAGGAACGCAGGAAAAGGTGCTTCGAAAAAAAAAATCATAGAAAATTGCATCGGTCCTCATCGGTTGCATTTTTATGAATGAGTAAGTATAAGAAGCAAATCGGCAGGGTGATAGTGGATTAGTGGAGCATTGTTTACCCATTTAAAAACAAAAATCCAGTGGCAAGAGCATAACTCGCTGCCGCCTGGATAATAAAAGGTGAGGGGGAAACGCCAGAGCAGGCGAAGTTCATGCCGCGGCGAATGTGCAAAGAGGAACAAAATCTGCTCACCTCAGTATCGCTGTCGCTGTCCCAGTCGAAGAACGCATTGGGCGCCGGCCTCCTCTCCCTGAGCGGCCTGATCCCGGCCGCCACCGCGCGCCCTAGATCCCCGAGGCTCACCGCGGGCACCGACAAGGCCTGGTCGACGGTGCGCCGCCTCCGCCTCCCCTTGGTCCCGGCCTTGGGCTTGGGCGTCCTATCCTTGTTGCTCTTCTTATTCTTGTTGAGGCTACCTTTGGGCCTCCCACTCTTCCTCTTGGTTTCCTCGCCGCCTCCGGGCGCGGGAGCCGCGCCCGCGTTCCCGGCCTCAGCCTCGACCCCCTCCGCCTCGTCCGCCATGGATTGGGCGGCGATTGCCGCGGCGCCGTCGCGCACAGTGTACACAGTGCAGGGGGGAGGAAGTGGGGGATAGGAAATGCAGCCGGACGAGTGCCCTAGATCCCCGAGGCTCGCCACGGACACCGCCAAGGGCGGGTCGCCGGCGCGCCGCCTCCGCCTCTTATAAGAGTCGACGCTACCTTTGGGCCTCCCCCTCTTCCTCTTGATTTCCTCGCCGCCTCCGGGCGCTGGAGGACCCGCGCCCGCGTTCCCGGCCTCAGCCTCGATCCACTCCGCCTCGTCCGCCATGGATTGGGCGGCGCCGTCGCGTACAGGGTAGTGCAGGGAGGGGAGGAGAAGTGGGGGAGAGGAAATGCTGCTGCAGCCGGACCAGGACGAGGTTTTTATGCCCGGTTCCTGGCATGACATGGCTGAAAGTAGGATACGTTGTGAGAGAGAAATACTCTGAAAAAATACGACTTACAGGCCTACACAGCTTGTTTAATTGACTCGTTCATATCGTTGCTGGTTTGTTTACGTGAGAGAAAAATACTGTTGGCTGATTCATATGTAGTGCCTATATGTGGGGGTTGGTCAGCCAGCCCCAACCGAACGGGGCGACAATCATGGTCCGCAACGACCTTTTCCTTCTATAATAGGTATTGTGCGTACTAATAATAATTTATTAATGTTTTAAAACTCCAAAACTTGAGAGGATCTTTTATAGAAATTCAGGTGCCTTTTTGTGTTATTTCGGTTTATTGTTAGAGATAACTACATAGGTCATATTCGCTTCTCTTATAATCCGTATTTTTCAGCTTGTTTTTTTAGCCGGAACAGTATTTTTCTCTTACAACAAATCAACCAGAAAAGTATTTCGGCTTATTTTTTCAACGAAACGAACGGAGCCATAAAACCGCTTTACCATATACTCCATGTAGGATGGATAGTGGTAGGGTAACTTTTTAGAGAGGTTAATTTCTATCAAGTTGTCCATTCTCATACTATTTCATCATTTTTCTTTGAGTGGTATCATATACGATGAAAAAGTCTTTAATTTGTTTTAAAAAAAAGAGAGTGCACCAATTGATCTAAATGTGTATAGCAAGATTTAGAACGGAGGCTGAAAATATGCACATGGATGTTTTGTTTTCCATTATTTTGATGTTTAGTTCTCTCTTGCTTGCCTATAAGCCGCTAGATGGGGTTTCCGTTAATTTGAGGTTTTAGCCCCCCTCCCCCCTTATCTACCTACGAGCCACTATAGATAGGAGAAGCTATTTTAGCGGGAAAGTGTCATTTTGAATTTAGTATGATATATTTACGTCTCTTATAAAAGAAAACACCACTATTTTTCTAATCTTTACATGCAAGCTATTTATGTGTCATTCTCGTACTAACTGCTACATTGTCTCTCGTTGAATGCCAAAGCATCTTCTATTAAGTATAATTACTATTATCAATCTGTCAACATACAATACATTTGTTCGCCATACTATTTGTTTGGCCACGACATCCTCCTGTATTTTGATCTAATATTCTGATACCTTTTTATTATATTCTTCTATTATGTTGTTTGGTTTTAGTAGCCGATCTCATACATAAAACTGTATATAAGGCCATGTGTTATAGAATGAGATATAATATAGTAATGGGACAATTGGCCACGGGAAATGCCAAATGAGCACCGACGGCTGGTGGACACCCTAAATCCAAGTAAAGTTCTTCTTTGGACCGACATGTTTCCACTTTGAATTGCCGAGAAGACACGCATACTGGTTTGACCAAGAAAAAGTGATGATTTGCCCAAATTGCTCTTTGGCCCAACTGGTCACCCATTCCATCCGCCATGTCGACTTGGTCTCCTCGTCAATGAGCGAGATAGCCTCCTGCACGAACCCACCCTCGCCGCCGGCCATTGCCGCCGAGCTCACGCTGCCGTCGCCCATTGCGCTTCTCCTCCGTGACGACCGCACCATGCCTCCCTATCGGCGCATCGCGCGCAGCGCGCGCTCTCTCCTCCGGTTGCCGCCGCCGCCGGTGTTAGCTCGTTGTCGCCGCGACGCGGTGATCGCTCGCCAATGCGTGGGTCACGGACCACCTCCGGTCGAGCCGAAGCGACTCTGCGAGACGCTGCCGCTCGAATCGCTGCGCGGCGCTTTGCCGCCGTTGCCGTTGAGCTAACCACGCATGGCGGCGCTTCGCGGCAGTGAGCTAGCGCCGAAGTGGCCAGGCGTGGCGCGCGCGTAGCGGCCGCGCGCCACGGCCTCGCCGGCTGTGGCGACCTACCGGTCCGTCGCGGCCTCGCGCACGCTGCATGCATAGTAGTAGCTCGCCTGCCGCGTCCTCGCGGCAAGACGAAAGCAAAAGCAACTCCCTGTGGGTCTCGCTCATGGCGAACGACAGCAGCGAAGCTCGCCGCGGCCTCGCCCAAAGACGGCGGCGGTACGGTCCAAGACGCCCTCATGGGCGCAGCGTGCGAAGCTGCTGGCTCGCCATGGCCTCGCCGGCATACATGAAGCAGCGGCTCGGCTCTGCTGGCCTCATGGGCGACGCGTGAAGCTGCGGCTCCGCCATGGCCTCATGGGCGCATGTGTGCGCCACCGCGGCAGGGAAGCCTCCTCCGGCCGAGAACAGCGGGCTCCGGTGCCTCCTTTGCCCCAAATTCATGACGTGTTCGCACGGAGCTCGCCTTGCTGCCGGTGCCCTCTCCTCCGTTTCTCCTTCAACGGCGGGGGCCGGCCAACAAGAGAAAGAAAGGGGGAAGAAGAATGGGCTGACCAGTTGGGCCAAGGGCAATTTGGGCAAATCATCACCTTTCTTGGCTGAAACCGGGGCGCGGTGTCTTCTGGCAATTCAAAGTGGAAACACAGTGTCCAGCAGCAACTTTGCGGATTTGAGGTGTCCACCAGCCGTCGGTGCTCATTTGGCATGTCCCGTGGCCAATTGTCCCTATAATATAAGGTGTCAAACAAATAAATGAGGCCCTATATTGTGTTTTACTAACATAAAACTGATAATAAATGACCCATTTTTATGTAAAAGTGGTAAAAAGAGATATATTTATTGCTCTGTTAAAAATGTGTACTTGCACGTGCATGACATTTCAATGATGATATTTTTAATTAAGAAAGCCAATGGATTTGAGTATATCTTTCGCTGTCTATTACTCCTTCCGTTTTAAATTATAAGACTTTTTAGTTTTTCTACATTCATGACTTTTGTTATGTATTTAGATATACACTTAGATCCATATCTAGATGCTTAATGAAAGATCCATGTCTAGATGCTCAGTGAAAGTAATATATCTAAAAAAAACCTAAAATATCTTATAATTTGGAATGTAGACAGTACCTTGTTTACTAACGTCTAATATGCAAACTCATGGGTAAAAGATGAATATATAGGCTGTACCGCTATAGCCGACGAAGGAGGTGAACATCGGCACATGGCAAATAAAGGATGACAGGTGAATATTACATAGCCGAGGGTTTTTCGCGCAAAGAAAAAAAATAGTAGTACCTCACCTCGACAGGACAGCAGTTCCTGGGCCCAAGAACAAGAAGAAGCGGCGAATGGGCGGCAACCTCGAACGGAACGGTCTGGCTGGCGCCCACCACCGTGAGCCCACATGTCAGCTGGATACAAACGCGAAAACCAGGGGCGCCCGGCGTGTTTGTTTAGCGAGGGCGACGAATGGGCGGGAGATTTTGGTGGTTTTGGGCCTCTTTTGTTTTGCCCGCGGAGCCCAATTTCGAAGCCTTCTCGGGTCGAGCCATGGCCCAAGGGGGCTGCCCCCGGAAGCATCCTGGTAACCAACCGCCCGCCTCTGTTCCCTTCCCCCTTCCGTTCCCTCCAGCTCCAGTCCAGCACCCGCCGGCCGCCGCCGCGGGGCATCATGGTTTGGCTGCAGTACACGGCCACCCGCTCGCAGCGCGCCGCCACCGCCTGCCTCTTTCTCGCTGGCGCAGCCCTCATCGTCGCCGCCGCCAGGCTCTCCTACGCCAACATCGAGCCCCAGCGCGCCAAGGTCGCCGAGCGGCGGCGCGTGCTCGAGGCCTTCATCCACCGCAAGCTCGGAGGAGGAGGAGGAGGAGGATCCGACCCAGCCTCCGCCTCCACACAGCAGCAGGAGCAGGATCCAGCCAGGAGCACCTAGAGCCCGCGGCTTCCCGTCCTTGTCCTGATTCGTTGCTTCGGTCCACCATCTCTTCCTCCTCTCACCCACACATTTCAGTATAAACAGGAGTAGCGCTTCAGTACCAGTGCCATGCTTTTACTGACTGACTGACTGAAAAATGGAATCAGTTATTAGATACTCTACTGGAGCTCCTTGGATTCAAATCCATTAATAAGTTAAGCGGGCTTGTTACCCCTTTTCGATTTTCTTACTATATCTACCAAGTCATTGTGCTTGCTGTATGTACATGTGCTTGTGCTAATGTAACTGCTACTCTATTGAATATATATATATATATATATATATATATATATATATATATATATATATATATATATATATATATATATATATATATATATATATATATTTTCAGAAGATTGTTTGCCAACCTGTATGGCATTCATTCATCATTCACTGATCTATCGCGCACATGTTGTCATCAGATGCTCATGTCCTGTTTGCTTGTACTAGATTTTGACCTGCCTGCTCCAATTAAATAAACAAATGCAGTAACACAGACGTGCAGTTCCTTCTGTTACTCGTATTGTGTGTTGTAGAGTACCATTTTACTGCTAGTCACCAAGAAATCACGGATTGGTACTATGTACCAGTGATTTGGACAAGGTCTTCCTGCTTTCAGCGTAAATGTACAAACACAGCTCAATCATAACCACAGGTACCGCTGCTACCTCTGATTTTGCAAATTTACTTCGTCCCACCATGTACAAACACAGCTCATAAAGGGCGCGGTAGAAGTCGTCCGGTTGGAGTCATCAACTTATCTGTAGGTTAGTGAACATCTACTGGCCCACCAGCAGAGTGCAGATGTCTGCTTTTTGTTTAGAGTTATTATGCCATTTACCAATAGTTCATGTTTGTCAGTGTGATATCAAAGGCAAATAGGCATCTTCATCTTTCATTCTTACCTGCTGAAACTTCTCTGCCTTCAATAAACTTCTGCATTTACACTCTTGTATGGTTTTGTTACTGATCTTAGGTTCCACCACTCACCAAGAAATCAGGTTTCGATATTGTGTCGCAGTTATGTCAACTAAGCCTTCCTAATTTCAAGATAGATCTACAGACACAGTTCATTCATAACTACAGGAACTAATCGCTTGTTCTGGTTTTATAAATTTAGTTTCTCCCACTATCATGTTTCCGAAAACTTTGATCCCATTATTTTTCTACTATCATTTGTTCAAGTGGTATGCTGAATTAGTTAGTCTAATAGCTGTTCTGCCAGGAGCCATTACACCCAAGTATGCCAATTGTCAGGTCGACCGAGATGAGGTGTGTATGCGAGGAATCAAGAAACGGACAAGAAGAGGGAGATGTAATACGATCTAATGGAGCCGTATCATGCCAAGAAATGTATTGTTCTAACAACTAGCACATCTGACTTTGACCAGTTAATCAGGAAAATGCTGTTTCGAGTCAGAGATGTAATAGAGCGAAATATTGCGAGCAGATTTTTTTTTGGGTGTGGGTGGGTGTTTTGGAAGGGGGGGGGTACTCCATTTGTTGATGATATGATTCCTATCAGCCATAATTTCCTAACACCGTGGAGCTACTCTGTTTTGTAGCATACAAGTATACAACGTTCAAGTTACTCACGTATCTCATTCTCATAATCTCATCCAACTTATAACTTGTCACTCTGCAGGCTCACCAGTTTGCTGGAGCAAAGGAAGACTTTGATGGTGCCTGCATCTCCACCGTCGACGCGAGATCAAAGGGCTTCAGCCATTTTCAGCCTTGGTTTGGCTTCTCTCCCGTGAAGACAACGCGGGAGCTCGCGGGCAGTGCCACTGCGAGCGTGTGCGGACGCCGCGGCCGCGGGCCTGGGCGTGGCAAGCGCGGAGGGCGACTTGACGAGCTCGCGGTTGGTGCAGAGGGCGGCGTGGGCGCCTGGAGCGAGGTGAGCGAGCGCGACCGTCACGGAGGTGCAGGGAAGCGCATCCGCGAGCAAAACCGGAGACTCCGGGTGTCGGGTTTATAAATCCGGTGCAGCTGCTTCCCATAAAAAACTCTTGACTCAACAGAGGTAGTTACGAACGACGCGTAATTATTAGGCCGATCAAAAACCTAACGACAAGATAGAAGGGCGATCTCTGACCGGAAGGTCTGGCCAAGAAAAGGACCGACATTCATTTCCGACTCCAGCCCACCTCTCCGACCGGAAGGCCTGGCCAAGGAGGAACGACGCTCGTGTCGACTCCGGTCCGCCTCTCCGACCGGAAGGTCTGGCCGATAAGGAATGACGCTCGCCTACGATTCGACCCGTTTCTCCGACTGGAAGTACATCGAGCTCTGCTTACAGCTCTTCTCCAACCGAGAGGCCGGAGCCGACTGGAGAACGACAGATCAGGGACACCCGCTCGGTGAAGACCTAGGAAACGAATAGGGCAAGTAAGGCGGGCGCGCTCCAGTCAACCGCAATATCAAAGACCGTATCCTACCTGCAGAACATTACTGTCAGGCCATGACCGAAGGGTACTTTATATCCTTCCAGACATGTCAGAACACCAACAGTGTTATGGCGCGTCGACATTTATCGTATAGTATGGTAGGCGCCAACATCGGTCGTACCGGAAAGATCACGATGGAGCCTATCACATGCATCCGGACATTAACAGTGTTATGGGCGTCGACAAACCGCCCTGTACCCGACATCGTGGGCAACAAGACTAAGTAGCACACACACTTTTTCTGTCACTCTCTCTTGTAAAGTCGTCCCCTTCATCTATAAAAGGGAATGCGCTCTCTCTAAAGGGAGACGGATCGATTCACAGACGATTCAACCACCAGCGGATCGAACAACCTACGATTTGAATGATTCCAACAGAGCACGCGCTCAAATACTTAGCGCATGTAGGAGCTCACGTCTCTCTCGGCCCTTCGGTCCAGAGTCCGACCGGACCTTTTGCATCCCTCATCTTACTTTTTCTCGTTTGTAACCCCACGACAAACTTTGAGCACCTGGGCTCAGGAATAAAATCTCCAACCGACTCAGACTGGACGTAGGGCACGTTGCCTGAATCAGTATAACCCCTGTGTCATTGAGTGCTAGACCATATCCGATCACAACGTACGATAAAACTATCAATATTTACGTGTTGATCACTTTAGCGCTCCTACTTCCTACTGCTTTTTTGAATGAAAAAAAAAACAAATTCTAGAGGCCTTAGGATTACCTGGATGCTTCGATCGGAGTTCGACGGCGGATGTGTATGGGAAAGTTACGTCTAACTGTGCCTCACTAAAGCTTTTTAGTTGAAAAATCTAAAAAAAAACTTAATTATTAGAGGCCGAATAGGATTACCTGGATGCTTCGATCGAAAAGAAAAAAGTTCGACGGCGGATGTAGTAGGAAAAAGAGATAAACATTTTAAGCCTAATTAATCAATGTTTGGACACTATTTACCAAATAAAAACAAACATGCTACCGTAGCCCAAAATCTAAATTTCGCGAACTAAACAATGGCTCACTGTGAATCTCGATCCCGATCGGTCTCCTCCTTCCGCTCGCCTCGCCGCGCCGCGCCGCAACCTGGAGAGGAGACTGCGCCCGGTCGAGCACCACCTGGGGCCCAGCGTCCTCGCGACCAGCTCCGGCGCGGCGTCCGCCCTCTGCAGCCCCGGTGTCCCCGCGACCGTCGCTGCTGTCCTACTCTTCCACTCGCCACCTTGGCCGGCGACGAGCACCACCAGGACACCAGGTATTCATTCCCTCCCCTTGGTCCTCCCTTCCTGCTGTGCGAAGCCGTGCGCCCAAACCCTAACATACTACTCATAATCGGATCTGAATCTAATTACAGACAGGTGTATATGCCTACTAACTTCGATTGCTTTGCAAAATTATCATGTGGATCCGAATCTGATCAGTCCATTTCTCCAGAAATCGCAGATGCACACATCGGTGGTGGTCGTCGTCCTGGAGACGACCGAAGTGTACATTGTCATCAGCTTGTCAACGAGGAGAGATACCCAGGTCGTATACGTCGATCCGACCACCGGTGCCCTGCGCTACCTGGGGAAGCATGGGGAGGACGTCTTTGATTCCGAGGCAGCGGCTCTCAACTACATCACCGACGGGTCAAGGGTTCTATCCAAGAGCACCACATATGCCAAGGCACTGCTGGGATATGCAGTGTTAGGAAGCTCCGCTCTGCTTCTGGTTGCGACGCAGCTGAGCGCGTCCGTCCCCAATCTGCCAGGAGGTGGGTGCATATACACAGTGGCAGAGAGCCAGTGGATAAAGATCCAGCTGCAGAATCCTCAACCCCAGGGAACTGGAGAGCAGAAGAATATACGTGACCTGGCTGATCTCGACATTGATGGCAAGCACTTCTTTTGTGAGACAAGGGATGTTACCAGGCCCTTCCCGAGTCCTATGACACTACGGGAACCAGATGAGGAATTTGTTTGGAATGAGTGTCTGTCGAAGCCTTTTAAGGACATTGGCTTGCCAGGACACTGCGTCATTCTTCTGCAGGGGTTTGCTGAGTGCCGGAACTTTGGAGGTGCTGGGCAGCAAGGTGGGTTAGTCGCCCTTATTGCACGGCGTAGTCGACTGCACCCTGGAACCCGCTATTTGGCCCGTGGACTGAATGCATGTTCAGGCACAGGCAATGAGGTTGAGTGCGAGCAACTGGTTTGGGTTCCACGCAAGGGTGGACAGCGTGTCCCTTTTAGCTCATATATCTGGCGGCGTGGAACTATACCAATATGGTGGGGTGCAGAAATAAAAAATGCGGTGTCAGTAGAAGCTGAAATTTATGTTGCAAATGATCCTTACAACGGAAGCTTACAATACTACCAACGGTTGGGCAGAAGATACGGGAATAAATCATCTGAAGCGAACGTGTCCAGGCAAAAGAAATCTGGAAGGGTTCCTGTTATTTGTGTTAACTTGTTAAGATACGGCGAAGGAAAAACAGAGTCAGTTCTTGTTGATCATTTCAAAGAATCTA